GGCGCTAAAAGAGCAGTAAATATATTTTATGCATAATTTATTAGTTTTCAATACATTGGTTATATTCAAATTGGCTTTAAAACAACCAGTACTTAGATATGGCCCCGTATTGTATGGCAAAGTGTGCAATGGATATGTTCACAAAGTGTATGGCAAGCGAGTTGGCCACCAAACGTATCCGCATAAACTCAGTCGTGTAAGTCTAACAATATATCGTTTATTTATATCACTGATAATAGGGGAATACTTCAATGAGTTCACGGAATAATAGGGCAGAAATAATAATCTAGATAAAGTATAAACTCAATAATCATTATCAATATTATAGACCTGGAATGGTTCGCACCGATTGTCTCCTAGCGATAGGCGTATCGCAGACCGACTCCGATAAACATTTTGAGTCTTACACTAATATATTGCCGGTCGGCCGATACGGTCAGCCCCAAGACATCGCTGACTCCATACTATATCTGGCGAGTGACCATGCTCAATATATCAATGGCACATTCATCATGCCCGATGGCGGCGCCGTTGCCGGCAATGTATTCCTAAGCGATCTACTTGCTAAGAGTTTTGGTTAAATTTAGCTAGATCCCAATAAAACGCTTTATATAAAATTCATACTGTTAAATTGTATTCAATTTATATAATTAATTATATTAACGTATTATTATTCATATTTACTATAAATTACTTCAGCAACAAAGAAAATACTATTACTGTTTATTACAGGTTTGTTCACTCAAATTATTTGGTTTAAGAATTGTTTTGTGTTTATAATGTTTATTGCATTTTTAAGATAATTGAAATATCTATAGTTATTATTTATTTGCTTATAATTAATTTGTATGCTTATTATCAATGATCTAATAACGTTTATAGAAATTAGTTTTTATCTAATAATAATCCAAAACAACTCACACACAGCGATGCTATACGTTAACCACAATTCGGATATTGCTTAAAGAATAGATTATCATTGTATACAGATTTAATATTAGCACAATAGATTTGCCATAGACTTAGCATTGCCATAAGCTCAGCACTGCCATAGACTCAGCATTGCCCATAGAGTTATTATTATCCATAGACTTAACATCAACAAAAAATATTGTGTCTAAATTATTTTTTATGCTCTACTCTACCAGAATATACACAATTCATCAAGATATCTTGGTGGCACCGGACCAAGTTTCCTTGTTAGTTTTGTTTTTGTTAAACTAACCGGCCTTCACCTAATGCCATATGTTATGGCCTAATGCCTGTTCTGTGCAAACAATTGAAATATTAATAGAATTTCTAATTAACCACTTGTATTAGAATATTATTCAAACAAAAGAACTGTCCAAATTAAATTACAAATGAAATAATTGAATCATTAAATAATAATAAACATTTTACATAATAAAACTCATAATGATTA